CCCCAAAACCCCAAAACCCCACTGCTTTCATTTTGAAAAAGTATAATGATGAGTTAAATTATATTTAGGAACAGATTAAAATTTTATGTTCAGTATACAAATAGAAATATTATTGCTCGTGGATTCGAAAATACAATGAGCTGGAAAACCTTACAATCCTCACATCTAAACTATGTTATTTCAAGCTCTAATTTCTTTTTCATTATACATATTAGAGCCTGGCAATAGTTGCTTGGATATCTTAATTTACAACAAATTATTACTGTTTGGATTTAGATTGGTGGTTGAACTTGACTTTTGAAATTGAGAAATCGGTTGCTATGTTTTTAAAGTCTGTTAAACTTTTTTAATTCTTAGCTTCTTTTTTTTCAAATCAAAATCTCTCGTATGAGTTAAGAGAGATTAAGTCTACTTTTTCAAGGCTGCTGCTTATGGTACATTAAATTCATTCTCAAGATAAAACTTTAAGTCTCTTGTAGATTATGTGTTTATAGGATGCTTTGATAGCTAAGCAGAGTTCTTAGCATTTATTTAATCAATTATTTATTAAACGTTTATAGATCTTGTGCTATCTGCTCTCACAGGAGATCTAACCGGTGATAAGGATTTATAATCTAAATTGCTTGGCCTAATAAATGAGATCATTAGCTTCTTTGGGTCATTATTATTCATTCTCATGGGACTGAATGTCTGCAGGCAATTTATGAATGATTTTCTATCATTGTGGTTTTAAGAAAATAAGTATCTCTAGTTTTTATTATATGGAGATTCTCGTTTGTCACTATTAGACAAAGAACATTTAATCTAGGAACTCGATCAAGTTTCCAAACTTGTCTCAGTCTTGAAATTCTGATGAGCCTAACTTGAAACTTAGTTCTGATCGCTTGATGTTTCTAAGATAAAGCGATCTATTTTATGTAACGTGTCTTATTTTACTTAAAGTGGGATCAATTCCAAATTGCTATCATCTTTATATGTCTGTTACTCCTAATGTTAAATGATAGATTTCAGCATCTTCTAATTCAAACTAATAGATCTCCAAAGTTTTCCTCGATCAGAGGATTTACTTTCTTCGCAATTCTCAATGGTTTATTTATCGTTGAATGCAAGATGGCTATCTTTCCAAAAGATTTTACTATCTTTGGTTTATGTTTGGAATGCAAAATTATCAATATTTTTTGTCAGTGGAACTCCTTTGCATTTGTCTGAATTATCATCATCTGAATCCCCTTTCAATTATTCAGGGTTTGAAATTCCTTACTTCAAAGTTTTGAAAAACTTTTAGCTCGTAAATTCACGGCTGCTTCCCACGGAACCTAGTATTTTTATCTAGGATTTCTTAAGTTTAAGCTTTGTGGGAGAATTTAATATGGTGTTTGAATTTCTGGAGTGGAGTTTTTGTTTAATTTCCATTTATTTTGAGGATGCAATAGACTACCTATTCTTATCAATTACTATAGATTTTATTTCTCGATTATATTTCTATTATTCTGATATAATATTCAACACATATTTTTAGAGAAATCGCATTTCGGGGTTTTGGGGTTTTGGGGTTTTGGGG